CTTATATCACATCTGACTACAGTTTGATTGCCATTTTAGATTTACTGAGCTGCGGTTCTGCTTCCTACAGACTTTGTGCGTAAGGCAATCACTAAACGGAGGGAAAGGACATCGGAAAAATGTTAAGACTTGGTACACTGGAAACGTTCTGAACTGCCATATGTAGAGAATACCTTCACAACTGCCACCCACCTTGGTGCATGCTGGGATTTGTGGAAAGAATGCTTTGCACTTTTTCCCTTTTTTTTTTTTATTTTGAAATCTATCGAAGAGTAGATGCAGAAAATAAGTACGTCTTTCTGATAAAACTGGATCTGTTTTCACTACGATGGCTCCACTGTTACACAATGTATCGTTTTAAAGACAAGTAAAGCCTTGTTATTTGCTTGAGATGGTGCTATAGCATTAAGCTGAGGTATAATCCTGTAAAACAAAGATGTAGGTTAAACTACTAAGATCTGCATCTGTTTGATTTTTCACTATTTAAGACGTTGTTGAGTGAAACCCTGGAGCCTGAGACGCCCCTTCATCCCAAACAAGCTCTACTTATTTGTCTTCCAGCCTCTGAGTCGAGGCGTGCGGCGACTGCAAAGGTGCATCACGAGAAATTAGAATAGGAGCAACTTTTTTTTTTTCTGTATTTAAATGTTTTTTTTTTTTTTAAGTCAAAATGACATTGATGACAGTGATATATTTGAAGTGTTTATTTATCTTAATCTTTATGGTTATTGCTTTTGGCAAACTTAAAACCTAACGTTCATTTTCTCTTAAAGACGCCTTGATGTTTGGTCAGGGCTCCTTTGGTAGGAACTACTGCAGCAGGGCAGTTTGGCATTAGAAGTTCTCATTTTCTAACATAATTTCACTGACAGGTGAAATAGCCCCATAGATCATATCTGAAAGAGGAATTTGAATTTAACTTTATTGACCTCAGAGCACAAGCGCACTGCTCTAACCACTAGGTCAACACCGCCCCCCCAAAACATTTTTTGACATTTAAACTTTAATTAAAAAACACCAACTTGTCTAATGTAACAAAAGAAAAAAATACAATGTTTCATCTCTTTAACATTTTTTTCTATATTAAAAAACAACAAAGCAGAATGCAGCACAAAAAAATGCAGGGGCCATTCGCCAAGGAATGATAAGTGCCTTTTGTGAGCTCCGTCAGTATTGCATGGTCGGTTGGGGAAATGCAGACATCCCTCAGCCGGACTTAGACACCAAGATGGCTACCTGACACAGGTAGAAGTAACTCCCAAAGTTCCTCCCAACAATTGAGTGCCACATCAGCTTAAATTTCCGCAAAGTCCTTCTCGATTGTTATACTCTTCCAGGGCCTGTGTGGCACACTCCATGGCGTCTTGCAGCATGTTCTCTAACATGTCCGCGTTATTTACCACTGACTTTCTGTCATACATGGCATTGCTCTTTAGTTGGAACGTATGAAGCGGTGAACGGTCTCAAATTGTAGATTGCATGGTGTCAGACCCGCAAAGTGGTTGATAGAAAAGTGATGTGGCTGTATGGCAGTAGCATTCTGCTCTATAATTGAGCAACATTTCAGTTTTATTTCTGCAGTTAAGCCTCATTCAGGAGTAGCTTAACAGCCTCTGTCTCCTGTTAAATTCCAGACAGTTTAGACTCTGCCTACAAGTCGTGTCTATTTTTCATTCCAAATCCTCAAGGCTGCAGTTATTCGCATCTTTTTCTGCGAGACTTCTTCCTTCTACTTAACTTTATATCTTTGGATACAGCAGTGTTTAAAAAAACAGCTGTGGCGATGAGGCTTCTTATGGAAAGCATTGACTGTCTTGTGTAATCAAACTCAAATAATTGCATTTTGGTCACAGCAATAAAGCCTGAGAGTAGATTCTATAAAAACAGGTTAAATTGAGCAAACCTTAACGTTTTGGTGCAAGTCGTTTCTTTTAGATGCAGCAATTTAATGTGTTTAAACAGTATTTTTTTTTCTGATTTACACAGAAGTCTATTAAACGGGAAAAAAAACCCCGATAAGAATGACACGTCTATATAAAATATATAGATATAGAAAAGCAGCGATGCTCAGATCAGGTGATCAGTCAGAGACCCCAGATATACCACACATGTTTACAGTCAGTGAATGCACCAAACAGTTGTTACTGAGTGAGAAAGACAAATTTACCATGTATCTATTGGTTGGTATAAAGTTGGCAGAACTTAATTTGGTTCACCTTTTGCTTCTCTGCCATACATGTGCTGCTATGTGTTCCTATCAAAGCTCCGTGTTTTTCTATCACATTGTTTTTTAAATGGATCTTTACAAAGAAAAGCTGTTTTTGTCAACTTTTTCAGCATTTTAATCAGAGCAGATTTCAGTCTCTTACAGTATTCATTTCCAGAAGAAGTGCGTTTTAATGGAAAACATTTAAGACTTTTGTTGTTGTTCTCAAACTTGATCCGAGTAGGATAAAAGTTCGAAGCTTTATTTATGTGCCATCTGCTGTTTGGGCCTGTATCTGTAGACTACGTATTGTTTCTAATGATATAAAAAGCCATATTGTAGACAGATTTTTACGCAGGAAGTTTTAGGATCCTAATCCGGGATGTTGATGTAACGAAAGCAGCATTGGCAACTTTTAGGGGCAACGGCAACTACAAATGATCGTTGGCTACCAGCTTGAACTGGATAAGCCTATCTGTGCACCAGTCTTCTGGTTTTATCCAATGTTTGGGTAGTTTTTACCAGCAGCTGCACATCTTGGGACGTTTTAATGTTTGAAAGCAGAATCCTTGTCAGACGTTTATGGGACGTTTTTCATATTAGAGAATCTGAAGGCATCTTTAGGCTCAAATTCCCAGATTTAGTACACATCTTAAAATCATGAATCTATGTTCGTTGTGATCCAGCTGGCTTGTCCTGATCCCAGGTTGTCCCATCCCCTTACTGAGAAAGCGTTGTCTGTACCGTGGTGCAAACTGTTTCTGTGAAACTATTGTAAACTATTGTAAATAAAGAGGTACCATTTTAACCAGAGGAATTTTCTGGTCTGCATCATTTTATCTGTTTCTCTTTGCCGTCATCTTTTCTCCCCTACAGTCATTGTTAATTTCAGTCCAGGCACTCAATTATTCCCCATTCAAGGATACACCTATCTCTTCCATTTACCCATGTGTAAATAATTCATTCCAACATCATCCATCCGTTCTATGGCTTTAGCAGGTTATTATTTAAACTTTAAAGCCTGCAGGTATATCTGCAATAAATTCTCAGGGATGGAACAATGGAAAAGTTAGTTGAGTTGGTCTACAAGCCCATCACAGAAATGTATCCGTCCCTCTGGAGCCAAAAGCAGTTGTTCATAAAGTATGCAATTCTAAAATGTACATTTAAGAAGTGGCTAAACATCCAAGATAAATAGAAGTGGATGTATAATAGCTGAGCAGTGTGCTCTTTGTAAATAAAACTAAAAGGTTTCCTTACGGCGCCGCAAGAAGTCATTTTAAAAAATGGATGACACCCGTCCCTCCTGGGCACATTTTCGGCCTCGGATCCGGCGAATCACAGCAATCAATCCACTCCAAGGAGCCAGAAAAGGCATGTGGATGAATGTGGCTAAAAATGTAAAATAAATGTGATATAAATGTATAAAACCAGAGGGCTGCCCTTTGTAAATGAAATTATGGAATCATTTATACAGCTGCAACCAGCCCTGTTAAATACTTGATGCTGAAAGGGCCTGATATAAAAATGAATTCCACATCCCTTTTTCTACAATAAAGGTGTATGAAGAATACCGGATTCATTTCCGAACTTGTTTTCACCCTTTAATTCCTCTAATGAAATGAAACATCAGTTTTTAATCCATTTTTATTTTTCTTTACAGGACAGAACAAATATGTTCAGTTTACACCGGTCCATTTCACTTGCAGACTGGAATGTAAAATCATCAGGCAGTCTCTTCTCACCTTCTGATGGCATCCATCCAGACATGAACAGACTGAACCTATAACTACACACTTAAAATGACAAAACAAGGACAAACACTAAACATTCAGTGCAAAATGGCTGCCGAAACGATCCGATCGTGTGTTTCTACCTTGTTGCATTTCAGTAAAAGTGTACGGCTACAATTCAGTTCTTCGGCTCCATTTGGACAAAATAGCTCATATAACATTAATTTGTAAACCTATTTTTATAAATGCAATAAAATTCAGCTTAGGTCTTATTTTAATTGTTTTTAATAATGTTTAGGGTTCCCTATAGTTCATTACAAAAACACCTCCTCCCAAAAACAAACACACACACAACAAACCAACCGCCTCTTTGTTATTGCACAATCCATCTACCAACAGATGCACCAATCAGATAGGGAGAAATCTAATTTAATGGACTTAAACGGGAGCTTTATTGTGCTGCGGAAATTAAAAACGCACGGATTTAAGTGTTACACCGCTTGCCTATTCATCAGCGGTTCAGTGTATCGTGTCCCAATCTGCTGAAACAATTTAAAGCAGTTGTTGATTAGTGTATAAACTAACCAATGACAGACTCCAATACATTCCCTCTGTGGTTCCTCCATGTATAAGTTCACAAAGGTAAATGATAAGAAAATGTAGACTTTACAAAGCTTCCCTGCAGCAGCTGATTTGGCAATGAAAGAGCTGCTTGCAGCTCCTATATTGTCCCAATGTTTGTGGGATTCCGTAGTACTGTAGATGTTTCCAAACATAATGCATGGAAACTGCTCTTATTTCAGGGTGGAATACTTATAAAATAAATTAAGTAAGCTTGAATTTAGTGGCCTTTCCTCTACAGATCCAATGTCCAAACCACAGTTATCCGTATCAACAATATTAGCTTTTAAACTTAACAATTAAACATCTGTCTTTCCACCAATATAACTCACTGATGGAAGAGACACTGATTATCGTGACAAGTCAGAATTATGCTGCAGGTCACACACACCCAACTGACACATTAGTCTACAACAGGAGAGATAGTAAAGTAAAAATGAAAGGACTTAAAATATTATTCAATGTTATGCATCCCTGGTTTTGAATACAGACTTGCATTTCCATTAAAAGAAAAGCACGTTACACCGAAACCACAAACCTTCTGTCATCAGCTAAGTTCTGGGTCGCTCTAACCAAATGTTTGGCCCATCAGCGCCTGGTATTATTGTTCGATTGTGTTTGCTTTTTGACTATTAAGTTGTTGATTTGGGCAGGCACCAAAACAGCCACACAACATGATGCTTCCACTGCCGTGCTCTAACGTTAGGTCCTAAATTTGAAAGCCTTATTATGATCCCCCATGCAGAAGGCGCTGTGTATTTATTATTATACTCTAATAACAGTTTTCTCCAAAGGTATCTCAGTTTGCATGGAGGGGCTGCTGCAACCTTCAGTCGAGATTAAAGATATCCGTTTAGGAGTTTACGACATATGGCACGCTTACGTAAGACTTGTAGGCTGTTTGAAATAGGTAGTTTTCCACAGAGACCTTTTATTCAGGCCAGTCTGCTCTCTAATCCCAGTTTGGATGAATGTTATTTGATTAAAATCCTGTTTTTAAGATTCAACCAATTAGCCTCTAACCTGCAATGAGTGAGAAACCACTGGAGCACCAATACGCTTCATAATATCCATCATATATGAACTCTCTACTCCCAAATCAGCCCCTTAAAGCATTGGCGGCAGCGCTGTGCTGAAGGGGGCATTAAACTGGAAGCAGTTATGATGCATTGGACAACTTGGACATAACAATGAAGAAACTTGTAATAAATAATCAACAGCTGGACGGCTGAAAGACAGACTCTGCCCACAAACACACATCTTCTGAGGAGATCAAGCATGCTAATACTGAGCTAATACTGAGATTTTGGAAAACCTCTGCTGTATTTCAACCAATGCATTCTGATCATTTGTTATCTGTGCTACAAAAGATGGAGGAACCCTAATAAACGAGGGATGTCGTTCTTTTAAGAAATGCAAAATATGCAACTGGAGCAGGGGTCTGCGACCTGTGGCCCCGGCGCCACCAGCGGCTCTTTAGGAACTCAAAAATGGCTCTTCATCACTAAAGAGCAGTTTAATTATTTGAACCATAGATGTACAAACAAATACATGCTTTAGAATTTTCTCCACTGACTAATTGCATTGAATTTCCAAATATATTGAATCTAATTTTAACTGTAATGTATATATTTATCTTTTTAAACTGAGAAACAATTGTTATTTTCAGCATGATTTTTCCAAAATATCAGCAACCTGTGTTGAATATAATATTATTTTCTAAAAAGGGTCATGTATTGTTTGTTGCTTTGAACAGTTTTACCAGCTGGACTGAAGACATTTTTTGTAATTAAAAAAATTAATAAAAAAATTATAACACATTTAATTAGAGCCATGCCAGAAGCTTCTTTGATTACTAGAAGGAGGTTGCTAGCGGACCTTTAACCAAATATTTGACTCTGCATGTATAATTCTAACCTTGTCTGGATTAGAGAATTACAAAAATCTTGTGCCTCCAAATGTATTTTTTAAAAATTGATTGAGGGGTAAATGCTAATCATCTTTTACCTTTAAGATAAAGAACTCAAGAAAGTCTTTAAAAACTAATTAGTAACATTCTTGCCATGAAAACTACACATGCAGCCTCAGGTTTAAATTACAGATCATCTTTTGCAGATAACAAAAAAAAACAAGTCTTTTCTTTAACCTTCACCTTATCAAATGCAGCTAGAAAATACATGACAGTGGAGTTCTCTTCAACTGCAGGGATGATCGATTGGTACTGACGCAAATCAAATCCGAGCAGAATTTCTGCCTATAAAACTACACTGCAGTGTGTAAAGAAAATCCTTGTGGAAAAGTCGAACTTTTTTCTGATATAAAATGCAGCACCCCCTCTCTCCTTTCCGCTCCAACCCTCCACAGATACCAGTTCATACCTGCTGACTTGCATCTTGTCAGGCAGCAGACTGTGAACTAAAACCAAAGTAGAGAATGATCTAAAAACACAAACCGGGTTCTGGTTGACCTGTGTTACTGGGACACAGTCCTGCATAGTTAGCCCATACAGTTTTAAAACTTATTGCAATCACTCAAAAAGCTACCAGGATGACAGACATAAAGATTATATATGGAAACAAATTATAGCTTCTTCACATCTGGAAAACATGAATGTGAGAAATCGGACACTTCATTCAGCGCTGAGGGAAGTCATCCTCAGATTTGCTGTAATAATCCTTCATATATAAAACTATTTGTGTCTGGTTTCCTACAGAGGATAGATATGTGATCCAGTATATCTGGAGCAGCCAACAGGGAAAAACCCAGTGCTGAATACCCCAAACTGGGCTTTACAAAAGGAAGAAGATAGTTGTGAATCAGATTCACTAATACTATAACAGAGGAGAGCTAGAGGAGGGAAACTGATCTTTTTTTTTTAATCCATCCCTTCTAGTCTTGGGTTCTTCCGTGAACACAGTTGTTAAATCCTCCTATGTCGACAGCAGAGGGCTCCTAGGATTCGGATTCAATTCTATGAGCTGCAAAGACGGAAAAAAAAACAAAAGCAGTATTCAATAATCAGGCTCCAGTAATTCAGTAATTAACATGCAGCTCCATGAGTCACAGGTGAAAGCGGCTGCATACTGACATTGCTTGGGTATCCGTAGTGGCTCGGTGTCTGCGGAGATGACTTGATGCATGACCCCTCTGAACTGGTACAGTAATTTCAGACTTTTTTCCTCTCCCACGCAGGGGTCGTAAAAGCCTGGCAGACCAGCCTGCAGGCAGAGATAGTGTTCATACCAAGAGCACGCCCGCAGATTTACAGATGCTTGGGGACCTATTATCATCTGCTCAGACTCACCTTAGACGCCTCGGTGAGGATGAGCTTGGAGTCTTTGACCAGGCACTGCAGCGGCACGGTGACGTCAATCACCTTGGCTTTTTCCTGCTTCTGGCTGGTGTCTGAGACAAACTTTCCGTACCAGCCGTTCAAGATGATCAGGCCTGGGGTGGTCATTTACAGCATGTTTAGTGTTCATTAAGGCTGATTCAAACACTATTACATAGTTTAACTACTGTAGACACAAAAAAAGGAAACTATAAAGATTATTTAGTCAATTATTAATGGTAAAACTTTAACTAGTGCATGCTTTTTAAGGTTCCTTCTTATATGTCCAAATCAAAAATATTTTAATTTATGGATTTTCTTCTAGAGATGTTTAGCGCTTTTTAAATTCAACATTGAACCAACAATTCAACAAAGCCAACCAAGCCCTGGGTGATATGCACATGAAATCTAATCCCGATATATCTAATATCACAATATTGGGTGATATTATTGTGATAAAGATAAAAGTGGCCATTAAATCTGAAATAAATTTGTAACGATCTTGGTTCTGTTGTTTTTCTTTAAGTTTTCTGTTTCAAGTTTAGTCAGGTTTTTCATTGTTTTCTAGCTTTTTGTGTGTCTGGATTCATTTAAGTTGCTTAGGTTTTTCTGTCTGTCCTCTGCTGCCTCCTTGTGTTCTTTTCCCTTGGCTTCCTCGTTAGCTCTAATCACACCTGCTCCCTATCAGCTCATTAGCTCTACCTTTGTTCAGTCAGCCATAAATACACTCCCTCTGCAGTCCCTCTTTGCTGGTTCCTCGTCTTACCTTTCCTTACCCTGACTCCTTGATGATTTTTATGTTGGATTTTTGGATTCCTGTTTTTGTTTAACATTTTTAAGTTGGATTTTTGGATACCTGTTTTTGTTTGCCTGATCTCTCATTAAACCCTCCAAGAACTCACCTATGCCTCTCAGCTTCTGCTTTTGGGTCCAATCAACAACCTTAAAACCAAATCGTGACATAAATTACTTCTTTCTTAGGTTGGCTGCTAACCACAGTAACACAAGTAGTACGAATATAAACATTTAAATGTGGCTTAGTTACATAAAGAGATATTATTTATAGGATTAAACATCTCATGGTAACGGCAATTAATCATATTCTTCTAATTTTTTCAATTCCCTAATGAAAAAAAAAAAAACAAACAAAAAAATTGTAAAAAAAAAATTTCTGACAATTCGACCAGTTTCTGGAGTTTTTAAATATCAATTCTAACTGACAACTAGAAACTTATCATAACAGGGTTAAACGATACTATAAATGCCTACCTCTATTCAACGTCATTCCAAATGGTAAGGACTTGAAATTTTTTTATTCAGAAAATGAGTAATTTTATTTCTTCTAATACAACTTAATATGTGGACCTCATGTTGATAATAAACCAAATTAATACAATTTAGAAGGTTCAACCTCAAAATCTTCCATCATGAGCCCAAACCATGACACCAAAGCTTGAATGTGTCACCCATTTGTGATATTTTGGGTCTGTTTTTTTATTTAGAAAAAACAGTTCACAAAGGTAATTTATTTATAACCGCGCGGCTGACTGGAGTTGTGACAGGCAGCCCGGGCCACAGGAGGCTACGCTCTACCCCTTCTGTTCATTCGGCGAGCTAATCTGAACCGTTCAATTCCATTTGGAGAGCGAGATCATCTGTGGTAGTAGCACTAGACATCTTCCAGGCAGGTGAGTAAAACTAGCAGCAGTTCAAAGGACAGGAAGAATGAATGGTAGCCGGCGCGCGCGGATGACGTCATACACACTCCGCTTTGTTTTAAAAAACTATAAATATAAAAAATATAACCGCGGATGTCTGGGGGACAGTGATTCGCCTACATGTTATGAATGCTGGAGTGCCATAAAGAATAAATTATGAACAGTTTAGTTTGTGCCTCCAACTCGTTGCCCATAGGCAGACGTTACTTGGATATAACCTAACAGAATATCTGCAGAACAGCTCCAAATGACACAAAACTAATATGGGTAAATAGAACATGATGTAATAACGTAAAATCAAGGGCCCAATGTAAAAAAAAAAAAAAACGATGTTCCCCTTTAAGGGTGTGAAGAACAAGAAGAAAACATTTTGGATTTATATCAATATAACTGATAATCTATGAAATGAAATGAGTTGAATTTTGTCTATAAGAATGGATCAAAATCCCACTTAAGCAAAGCATGTAATAGTTTGGAGATGTCAGAAAAACCTTCACCACAAAGTATGCTCAATACTACATTTCATTTTTTCTACCCAGAGTTTTCCCTTTAATTTCTTTCTAAGTGTATATGCGTTGATGGTTTCTGGTGTAAATCTTACTTCATAGAAGACATTAGATTAGAAACATACAGACTGAGCTGTATATTAAAAAAAAACCTTAGAGGGAGACAGGGCGGAGGATTTTTGGCACATAACATGATGGGTATTACATCGCCGATAGGATAATAAAACTAAAATGCTCCACAGGAGCGTGAATAGAAATAATTAGGAAGCTAAAGCATAGTTCAGATCCCAGTGGAGTACACCAACATCATGACCTGCTTCCCAGCAACAGATGATGGGAGTCAGACAACCAGGATCCTGCAGCTGCAGAGCATTGTAAAGTGTTGAAAAAAAACGACAAAGATAAATACTTGAATTATACCAAGTTTGGACTGGCTCCAAACTTAAAAACTTTGTTTCTCACCCTGCTGTAAAGCATTTCTGTCTCAGTGTGTGTGTGTGGGTGTGTTCCCTCACCCATTTTGGATTCTTCTGCTTCTATGATTCTCCTCACAGACTCCTGCATCAGCAGAACCTGCAGGGGGACCAAGGGAGAGAGGGAAAATAAAGGAGGAGGGGTAGAGTAGAGGGGGAAAAGAAAGTATAGGATAGATGGGATTCGGTCATGAGGTTATAATGAGGAGTCTAACTTATGAACAGAGATCAATTATACCCCTCAACTCACAATGGAAAAAAAACAAAAAATCCCAGCCTTTCTGAAAGTAGGTACTCACAGCAGTCTCAGCCTCCTGCTTCTTTTTGGCGATGTCTGTGGCGGAGCTCTTCCTCTGCAGCTCCAGCTCTCTGATAGACACACAAACACACAGCAAACATCAACTACCACCCACTGGGATTCACTGTGGAGGCTTTCGCTGATGGTAGCACAGGCATTAAAGAAACCCCTCGACACACTTATATACAGAAATGCAAAATGTTCACGGATATGAGGGCTTTGGGGCAAACATCTATGATCGAAAACGATACACAGGTTTACTCACTGCTCTTTCTGTGCTTTTGTGTAGGGGATTATGATCAGTCTGTGGACGGCGATGTAGGCCAGGAGAGGTCCAACGGTGGCATAGAAGACAGCACTAGGCAGCAGCTGGTCTGTCAGGTGGACTGGGAACAGGTACGTCTGACTAGCGCGCGACAACCTGCTCAAAAAAATAACACAAGCGGTGGTATCAGCAGGAGCAGACATGCAGACGGGATCATCCGTCAGACGGACAAGGACACACGGAAAGGGGTGAGATCATATCTCAGGGGGGTGGGGTGGCTCGTACTTAATCTTGAGCGTGACTCCCTGCGGGACGCCGATGCTGACAGTGGCTGACAAAACACTGTGACGGCTGATCTTCCTCTCTGCTCCGTACTCTACCACCACACCAAACCAGCCAGTCCTGCAAACAGAGACCAATACAATCAGATATGTGATCGTATAGAGGTAGAAAAACTAAAACTGTATATATTTAGGTTTTTTTTTTCCATACCTGTGCAAAAATGTACAGTATTTACACCGGTATGCAAAAGGGAATGTCAAAACTCTTCATGTCATACAAGATGCAGACATCACATTAGGATGCCGAGTTTTATTGGGGTCTGCAATCAACCACAAAATGCAGCTAAACTGCTGGATTTCAGCTGAATTTGATCTGAATAAATTGAACCGTAGTTTAAGTCAGTTATATTTACAGATTGATAGCTTTTTAAAATTAATTCTAAATCCTTTTATTAATAAACCTTTTTAGATAAACACATTTTTAGCTTACCTGTCAATTTAATTTTTTTATTTATTCATCTTTCTTTTATATGTGAGCTTCGATTTAACTCACTTAAACGCCAAAAATATAAGCAAGGACGTTTTTATATCCAGTGGTGTGTGTTTGTCATGATTTCCTTTTTTTATTGCACCTAATTTATTTTAGCTCATCAAGCTAAGCACTCAAAAACCATTTTATCATGAAAAGGCAACCTTAACAAAAGAATTCATGTGATTAAACCTGTTTTGGAAAAGCTAAGCTATATTGCGTACCAATAGGACCTATAGGACCTGCATATCACTTAGATGACGCCTATCTGATGACATAAGTTAGGATAAAAGTGCTTAAAAAAACATTTTGCTCTGATGGGTTCAATAATGTAACTAATTGGTAAAACTACTCCAAAAATGAATCAAGTCATCCAGGAAGAATAATAAAAAAGTCAAAGAAAAACAAGCTTCCTTTTTTCTGGATTCAATGATAAGAAAGTTGATTCTTAGGAACAATAACACCGTTAAAAAAGCAAATATGGTTTAGAAAAATTTCCAAAAATAAACATCTTGATGATCCTTAAGACTTGTGGGAAAATATTTGGCTCACTGGTAAGAATATAAAAATGAAACAATTTGTGAAACTTTGAAATAAATATTGTTTTAAAAAGTTTTTTTTTTCTTAAATATTATTGATTGGGACCTTTTCTAGCTAGCATCTTTTTTTTTATAATTTCCTTTTAGAAACTCCCTTTCATTTCTATTTATAAAACATTGTTCTTGCTTGAAACCATAATGGAAGATAATTCACTCCATAGTGAGGAAAAGTAGTCGTCAACTCACCCAAAGTGACATAAAAGTCTCATTGGTGGTTATTGGAAACATTATTCGGTAGATGTTTCCACCTCTTAACAAACAAAGTGGTTTCTCAGGCTCTCTGTCTAATATTTGAACATTTTAGACAATTTGAAATATTTCTTGGGGAAAAAAGCACTGTTTTCACTGAACTGTATTTTTTTTATTATCTTTAGATGGACTGAGAGTTAAAGCAGCAGCTCAACAGACAGTGTAACCTTAATAAGAGGAATGTGGGGTCCTTAATTCAATTTTCTCCAATATTTCCTAGCAGCTAAATCTGTCCTTGCTGAAGGTTAGGGCCCGGTCACACCTTGATGATTTAGCAGGCGTATGCCTGACGTCCCAGAATCTCCTAAAATGCCGGCATACCTTAACTTTCTATGTATTTTTTCAATTTTGGGCGTATAAATAGTAGTGTTGCGCTGATGGCGTTTTTTGGCCCCGATACCAATACTCAATACCTGGCTGTGCAGTATCGGCAAATACCATACCGATACCATCTCTTTGAAATTGATGTGTGTGTATATATGAAGAACTGCATACTACTTGGATGTAAAATAATTGGCATCATGGCTTTGTCAAGCTCCTGCCTACCTTTGTGAAGCAAGAATAAGACTAATACAAAGTGAATCCAGTAGGACTTTTTATTGCCTATCTGGAATGGGTGACAATAGTTGAATAAAGTTTTGGCTCTCAAAATGGTATCAGTGCCCTATTTGTTGGTACTCACCGATACCGATGCCACCATTTTAGTTCTGTATTGGGGCCCCGCCCGATACTGGTATTGGTATCTGTGCAACACATTATGAAATAGCATATTCATAACGAGTCCAGAACTTGTGTTCATAGACAGCTTAACTTACGCATAACGCACAGCAGTGTAATGCCCATGAAATGTCACAAGCAAGTGTCCTGAGGGGGCAGCAATGCGCTCAGAGAAGCTTCTACTACTTCTAATACCTCCATTTATTTGATGGCGGTATTAACTGCTGTTTACCGCCCGCCAAAAAATAAATAAATAAATAAATAAATAAAAAGAAATATGGTTTGCAGTGACTGCAAATTCAGCATCATGTCTGCTGGAAGTTTGTTGGTCGTGGTCGTGAATGCAGGGAGGATCCATCACACTCGCCTTCTCGCTCATCCTATGATGGAGGAGTACAGACGGTTTCCTCCTGTGAACCGTCATTCATACCAAAACACTGCCAATACGCCATTATACAGCAGCTGTAAGTTAGAAACGTGCTCATCGGTCATCTGGAAAATGTCAGATACGTTGATATACTTTGTAGATAATTTCTTGATAAGTTATGAACAAGTTACTCATAGGTTTCTAAAAGGCTAGGCGCCACGACTTATCAGTAACTTACACTTAACGTATGTCAACGATCAAATAGCTTACCTGTAACTTATGCCCCACGTGTGAGCATACTGTGGCATACGTTAGGAAATTTTGAGCAAAATGTCTCAGCGTACTCGCTGTATATTGGCATGTGCCAGTGTTCTTTAGCGTGCTCATAACTTATACAAAATGAAGCCATTACTTATCCAACGTATGCCTGCATTTTTGCAAGATTTTCCGTACGTCAGACATACGCTGGTCTAAATTATCAAGGTGTGACAGGGCATTAGGAAAAAATGAAGTAGCTTGTTTTAGCCAGCTGACAAGCAGTGCACAGCAGGAAGTGAGCCACCAAATAACCAAACAATCTTATTCCCTTAATTTATTTTAACATGGAAGAGATGAGATCCTAACTTTTTAAAAGCTGCTTACCTCCCGTGCTCATCCATAATTAGATAAAACTAGATGACGAAGATAATTGTTTGAATTACTTCAACGAATGTGTGTTGAGGGTTAAGTCGTCATGTGGCTAAAACTCAAAGAACAAATATTTGTAGCAATAAGAAATTTGACAGCGTCAGGTTCTGCAGCACAGCTAGTTGCCGTAGGAACAAAAAAAAGCAGTAGTAGAGAATGAGTGGTTCATTTTCTTACAAAAATGTTCTTTTCCAGATGTAATCATTTTCAACATGTAACATGTGGAGAGTAGAATCCATGGTATTGCTGACGATTGTGAGAAAAATATACATAAAACCACCTAAAACTGATGGCACCTTCCTGTCTTTATCCCATTTGTAGTATTCTCTTTTAATGTCCATTTACAAAAAGCTGAGCATGTCGAGGTCGACTGACGATGGAATGTGTTCTCATGTGGTTTAGAACAAAATCAATGTGACTCAGTGGAGAAATAAGCCATTTTTTCTCCTGTTTACTGCGTCCTTCAAGGTGACACAAGTCAGCCAGGTTTACGCAGTGAGTCTATGAAAACTGCAGCATCTAAAAATCAGCCACTGCAGAATTTGGAGGCAAAGTTATTTTCAAACATTAAAAAAAAAGAAATACTGCATTGAAGGATTTTAAGAGTATCCAATGATAAGTTAAAAGACTAGAAAATGAAACGACCTTTTAAATGACGGATCATCTAGAACTCCAAATCCGAACATTGTTCTAAAAATGTTTTGAGTGCGTTTCCTCACTAATCTGAGGTTGTTACTGCTGGGATGAAAAGGAAGAGAGGGCGTAGGATTAGAGGCTAAATATCTATCCTGTTTATAGCAACGATCTGCAGCGGTGAGTCACACCACAACAACTGGAGCATTTTTCCTCTGGTGCTTTTGATGATCTTCAGAGACTCACTTTAAGAAGTAGCCCTAATGTATTAAACACACGCCACTTCCTGTTCCCCATACATCCGCTGTTTAACCTGGAGAACACCTGAGGAACGATGGGATGATTCAGGACCGACGGGGCTCGGGGATACTGTGCTGCTAACTGTTTGATCAAAATTATGCATAGAGACATACTTAAGGGAGCCTTTCACTTTGGTCTGGTCCTCATCCTGGAACTTGAACTGGTAGCTCATCATTAAATAGGAATGAGGCACACCCAGCTAGAAAGACAAAGAAGAAGAAAAATTTACAAAACATAACAGCATAAAATAAATCAGGGCCTTAATTTTGGTTCTTGTCAGAGGTTAAGTGACAGCGCACTGTTAAATCATAACCAATAAACTGCAAAAACAGATGTCTTACAGTGCTGTCTACACGTCCCAGACTTTTGCGCCTAAAACCATCCATTTGGGGCCCCCACAGCTTAAAATGTTGTTACTAGATTTTGCTATTGGCTTAGCACCAAGGGGGAACTGATGTCAGCAGCTTGACCCACCGGTGGATCTCTGCAGACTCACTCCTCCTACACATGGTGGCCATTAAATCAGCAGTTCCCAAACTTTCACTGGTTGGGCCCCCTTTTTGGATTACAAGAAAGTTTTTGTCCCCCTACCAACCCTGCTTTATCCCCCAACCAAATTTCTCAACAGTCCACCAAACAAAAATTAACTGAAGTTTTTTAAATAAAAAAAAAAAAAATACCTCTATAAAAATGTAAATACTTTCAGTATAACTATTTATTTTAGCGTGCAACAGAATTCAGAATTGCTATCAATACATCCGAAATTTTTTTTAAAATTATATATTAATTTCTTACACTCTTCCCACCATCCCTCCCCCAGGGGGTTGACCCCACTGAATTAAATAATTTTCTCATCATGGAAATAAAAATAAATTATTATTTTAATAT